CTCGGAGTTATTGGGTCTTGTTTGCCTCCGCATTCCCAGGGTTCTGGCCAAGAATTACGGGTCCTCTCCCAGGCCCCAGCTTGCACGGGGCTACAGTTCCCAATATCACTCAAAGCGGCTCCCTGCAGACCTAAACCCGTGGGGTCCTGCGATTTTACCCTATATAATCTGTAACCCACACACTATCAGGACGTCAGGTCTTTTAGAGCACTAGCTCCCTGTCTCTGGATTGGCCAATTTAGTATTAAACTTTTTCCTTTCTACACTCCAAACCCTTGCTCATGCATTTCTTTTGGCCTGTGTGCACAGATAGATAGACTCACATATTGAATTTTGGTATCACTATTAAAAGGTCAACTTGAAATCATTGTGGTTATGATAGTGTGATGATATTGTGATTTATAATAAAAAAGTATATTTGGTCTTTGTCCCAAATATAGCTCTTAAAACCCTTGGACCTTTCTGTGATAAGAGCCATCAAGGTGTCTTTTGTTATGTGAATGAGGCAATTGTGTAAAGCTCCTAAGGATGGGGCTGGCCATCAGGGGAACCAAGCAGCGATTAGAGGGTTGGAAATTTCAATCCCACCTTCTTTCCTCGTGTAATGGAGCCTCTGTGAAAACCCAAAGGGCCGCAGCGTGGAGAGCTTCCGGGTCGGTGCACGCTGGAGGCGCGGGGGCAGGGGGGGCTCAGGGAGCAGGGAAGCCCCTGGCCCCCACCCCACGCCTGGCCCTGCGCACCTCTTCTGTCTGACTGTTCCTGGGCTAATCCTTTAGGATAAGCTGGCGATCTAGTGAGTAAATATTTGAGTTCCGTGAGTCACTGGCAAATTAGTCAAACCTGTAGAGGAGGTCATGGGAACATCTGGTTTACAGTTAGTTGGACAGAAACATGGAGGGCAAACTCGACTTGCCATTGGTGTCTGAAGTAGAAACGGCCATGTGTGACTGAGCCCTTTACTATTGAAACAGGGTACAGGGCAAGAGGTCCCCAAGACTCCCATAGCCCTTGGTTGAGGGATGGAGGAAACAGATTATACAGCTTAAGATACATTTCATAATGAAGGCAAAATAACAGCTGTGTTACTGCCTCAGGGCAAAAGGCATGCACCTGACTTTAATGGCCATTCTGATTCATGATTAGCCGGGGGAGGCCGGGGCCCCCCGATCACTGAGTCACGCTTGCCCTGACTGACGGTGGCGGCCAAGGGGGAAGGTGGCGGCCAAGGGGGAGGGTAGAACAATCAGGGAAACTGGCAAATGTAGCTCATTGTGGGAGGAGTCAGAGGGGAGGTCACACAGGAAGCTCCAGGTCAGGATTTAAACTCAGGGCAGGCAGCCAGCCTCGAGGAGAAGAGCTGCGTAGCCAGGAGGGAGACAGGCGCTGTCCTGCGGTGTGGAAAGGGCACAGTGAGCAGGGAGCCGTGAGGAAGGAGAGCAGTGATGCAGCAGCCATGGGAAGGGAGGGGTAGGCAAAGGGCTGCTCGTCAGAACAGTGCCATGCTGCCTGGCGCAGCGAGGATGGGGACACGCGGCTGCTCTAATCACCCTTGCTCTAGCTGACTCTGAAGCCATCAAGAACGCTGCCTTGGAAGACACTGACTCTTGGGGCTTGGGACATATGGAAAGGCCACTGTCTCGGGACTTGTGCCTTTCCCGGACTTCACCATGATGCAGTGTAACATGGCACATGCTTTCCTGGACTATTACATGGAAGCTGAGGACAATGTACCCTAGATCCTGAAGGAGAGAGCACTGCATGAGGATGGCACCTTTAGTACCTTTCCAGAAGTACTGGAGAACTGTTTGCACAGCCAGCTTAAATTCGAATAAAGAAATGGGGAACTTCTGGCTTTGGGGCTTTTGGCTTATTGCCTTTTGGAAAGCAAGAGAAGTGCTGGATCTCAGGGAAGACCAGGGCTCCAAGCATAAGTGTTCTCAGCTCCCCCAAGGTTGGAATATTGTAAATAAAAACCTGTTCCTTTCAGCATTCACTGTTGGGTCATTCACAAAGGCAGCACATGAAAAGGCCCCTGTCTACTCAGTTACACTATCTCCAGGTAGCAAGGGTCAGAATTGAGTAAATTGTTTGGTGGTAAGGGGGAAAAACCAGACACATCAGGACTGGTGTCAGAATCGAATTAGCATTCCTGGAAATTTCCCATGTGCAAACCAAGATTCAAATGGGGTCATAGAGTGTTAAAGCCAAGATGTGTCTCAGGATGGTTCAGTTCAGCCTGTGTCTTACCCAAGAGAAATCTGAAAATCACGCACTCAGCGTGATACCCTACAAACTGCAAGGCTACCTTAAGTAAAGGCTCTTTCTTATTTTTATACATACCTTTCTGCTTCATGAAAAATTAATGTCTCACTTTGGGACTGAAAAGGGAAAAAAAGCAGGACAGGAATATTGATGATCAAACCAAAAAATTGAAAGTGTTAAAAGAAAAAGGTGGGTAGCAAATAAAAATTGCAATTATAGTATTATCTGCGGGAATAATTCTCCAGAATTTTCTATGCTTTTAGAATAATACACTTGAAAAATTGTTTTTAAACCTGGATTCATTCCTGATGCATGTGTTTAAAGCTGCATGAACTCTTTAGTACAGCCAAGCTCAATCACATGTGTTTTGTAGGTAGTATATTTTTAATTAGGTTCTCAATGTTTTTAATTCCTCATGATTTATTTTTAACCCAAATATTATATTATCTAGTTTTATACATTTACTTTTTTAAATACATAGAATCTGTAGCTAAATTTTGTAAATAATTTGTAAATTTACTACTACCTGTGCAGAATGTAATGTTTGTATTGAATAATTCAATAAGTCCTGCTCTGGGACTGAATGGATGGATTGAATAGATTTTAATAAATGTTTTCCACATGTTTACTGTGTGTTGGTTCTAGTTCCAAAGGCTTGAGATTAGTCATTTTGTTGCTCGGTTATTCAATATCTGCTTAGTTTGTCCTTGATTTTCCAATGTCTGAGCGACAGGTGTTGAAGTCCGAGGCTGATTCGCCCATTCCCATATGTGCTGCAATCATCTGGCATGTTCTGAGGTGCCACAGAAAGCATGTATGCCAAAGGTGTTCATGTTGACTCGACCTAGTGTTCACTGTACCAGAATGTAATATCCTCATCTTTCCTATGACCATTCCTACCTTAAATTCTACTTTGTTTGACGTTAAGACATAAACGTGATAGAAAATAAACAAATACAAGAAATACTTAGAAGTGAGTTATATTGAAATTACTACCTGTCAAAAATGTGTGGAACCCAAGTAAGCCATACTTAAAATCTGTTTCTTTAAATACATATATTGGAATTAGCCCTGACTGGTGTGGCTCAGTGGATTGAGCACCGGCCTGTGAACCAAAGGGTGGCTGGTTCAATTCCCAGTCAGGGCACAGGCCTCAGTTGCAGGCCAGCTTCCCAGTTGGGAGTGCGAGAGACAACCACACATTGATGTTTTTCTCCCTCTCTTTCTCCCTCCTTTCCCCTCTGTCAAAAAATAAAAATAAATAAAATCTTTTAAAAAATATTTAAACTCATTGTTGGGATTAAAAGGGAAAAAAAGGAAGAACTAACCATTTCCTATGGGTTGAATTGCTTCCAGTACAAAGATAAATTTAAGTATTAATGGCCTGCCCCGGGAAATCTGTCAGTATGACCTTATTTGGAGAGAGGATCTTTGCTAACATAATAAAGATGAGGGTGGGCCCTAACCCAATAACTGGTATCCTTAGAGAAAGAGGGAATTTTGGATAGAAACACACGGAGAGGCCACGTGAAGATGGAGGCAGAGACAAGGCAGGTGTCCACAAGGTGGAGACCACCAAGGACTGCTGTGAAAAACCCACTGCGGTCGAAGGCAGGAAGGGCCCTCCTCTGCTGCCCTGAGAGGGTTGGGGGCAGGGCCCTGCAGACAGCTTGGTTTCAGACTTCTCGTCTCCAGAACCAAGAGGGGATAAATGCCTGTCGCTTTAAGTCACCCAGCTAGTCTGAGTGCGCCGCGCACTGGAGTTTTAGGGATTTTGTGCTTGCAACCAATAAAAGATAAAGTTGACAAACTGAACACAGACTGGAGGCAATGTATGAATTACCTAAAACCAAGAGGAGATTTACATCTAAAAAATACCTGAAACTTTCGTAAATCAACAAGACAGGAACAAGAATGGAAAAATAGGCAACGTCTATGACTTCGATTGCAGACTTGGGAACCCAAAATATAATGGACTTTTGTGGCTATGCATGCTTAAGATCACAGGTCATCAAAGAAACGCAGATTTAAACAGCAATGTGATACCATTCTGCACGCAAATCAGACCAACAGAAAAACAGATGCCGACTGATGCTGACCCTGGCCAGGTTGTGTGGATGGAAGAGCCCTAAGCCACGGCAGAGCAGGGAAGGCCGACGAGAGACTCACTCTTCCTCCTGTGTGTCTCCTTTATGCTCACACATGTAAATATGAAAATGCAGAAAATGAAGAAAAAGTTTTGTAATAAAATCTCCTAAGTCTTGTGTTTTCAGATCTATGTGTTTTCTGAATCTCCTCCAATACTGCTGGAAGTTACCACATTCATCTTCTGCATCTTGTGAGATTCTTTCATCTTGTGCTTAGTGTTACCAGGGAGACTGGAGTTAGGGGGCTCCCCCTCCCCCTCCCCCTCCTCAGCTCTTGGCTCATTCACGAGAGATAAATTCAGTTAAGAGACAAAAACATATGGTGGAAACGGGGTACAAATTTATTTGTGAAACACACATAAGCACGAAGCTGCAAGCAGGCACCCGACTAGTCTGAATGCCTCATGTAGAGAGGAAATGAAGTTGTTAGTAAATTTGTTATTAAGTTTGTTCTATACACTTGAGTACGAAGCTGCAAGCGGGCACCCAGCTAGTCTGAGTGCGCCGCGCACTGGAGTTTTAGGGATTTTGTGCTTGCAACCAGCCTCTAGGTTCCCCCTCCTCCTCCCTTCTCTGGACCTTGCGATTGACATGCAGTTCCAAAGGCCTCCTTCCCCGAGACAATGGAACCACACACACAGAATTTCAAGGGCTCTCCTCCTCCTGCGCCATCATGGTCTCTCCTGTGATCTTTGGAACAGCTGACGATCTTATCTGACTGGGCTCAAGACTGCTGAATTGATGGGCGACACGTCTGCCTCCCCCTCTCTGCCTTGCTTTGCTCTCTATACTGCCTAACAGGTAGGAAATAAGAGAAAGGCTGGGCGCACACATAGGGAGGGGCAGTCAGTCCCCGGGTGTGGCCGGCGGAGGCAGGACGGGCTGTCCTCCTCCGCGCGTCTGCACGTCTGAGGCCAGAGCGTGCGTTCACACGTCCACAGGCTGTGCGTCCCTCACCGCGCACGAGGCTGCCTCTCAGACCTGATCTCCAGGCCCTGTCCCGCCTCTGCAGCTGTGGTCGCCTGTCCTTCATTCACACTTGCCCCTGGGATTTGATTGCAGGCGACCTTGTCTTTTCTATTTGCTGATATATAATGAAAATGGGCCCTGGGGTCGCTTTGGCCCTCTGGCGTTTGGGAAGGACCACAGGGGAAGCCACCCGGCCACCTGGAAGGGGGTGGGGTGCAGGCCAGCATCTGCCTCATCTCCGGTCCCAAACGGGGGCAGGGTCCCGGGGGCCAGCGCAGCGGGGGACAAGACCTTGAAGAGTAGGATCCCCTGCCCCTGCCAGGCGGGCATCCCCCGTGTGGAGGGACAGCCTTTGGCACGCCGGACCGTCCGGAGGACAAAGGCTGCTCGGCCGCCCTCCTTCTTTGCCATCCTGCAGACCTTAGGTAACGCTCACCCCCTCCACAGAGCTCCCCAGTCCGCCTTGAGACCTCACTCCCACCTTCCAGCGGCTCTCAACCCCGACGACTCAGCGCCTCCGCGGTAGCCCTGGCTGTGTCCCGTCTGAGTCTGCGCGGCGCGGCCTCCAGGCAGACCCTCCCTCCCTTTCTTCCTCCCAGCGGGTTCTGTGTGCAGCGACCGCTACTTGAGCTATTTCATAAGGTGAGAATCATCACTCTTGGGGCGCGGGGGGGGGGGGGGAGAACCTCCGGGCCATTTGTTTGCCATTGCAATGATTCGTTTATAGGAAATGCTTGTTAGTGAGAATTTGCAGGGACCCGGCCGAGTGAGGAGGGAGCTGAGTGCGCGCGCGTGCCCCGACCTAGTGGAGAGGGATGGCGTCCGAGCGGTAGAGAACTCCACGCTGGCCGAGTGTATTCCTCGCGCCTGTCCTCGTCTCCTGAATCGCTGTAGACGCATGGGAGCATGGGAGCAGGGGTATGTTTTTTGGTTTTTTGTGTTTTTAGCATCCAAACTCCTTTAGAAGTAAATCGCTCCTCTAGGCTGAGCGCCGTTGTCTGCTCCGATGGCTAAACCATGGTGGCTAAGCCACAAGCCAGTTTCTATGCTTTCCTTTTTCTGCTCTTTCTTTGCCTTTCTCTCCACCCCTCGGGTTCGTTCTTCTCTTTCTTCATTCACCCCTTCTTTCTCTCTCTTTCTCTCAAACCTCAAGCTTGCCCCCTACTGTTCTATTTGTCAAAATAGCACATTGCTCTGGACCCCAAGGTCACCTCAGCCCACTGGGGCTGCTGTAACAAAACGCCACACTCTGGGCATCTTAAACGACTTTGGGGTCCGGGCGCCAATATGGGTGGGTCCTGGGAAGGGTGCTCTTCCAGACTGCAGAGGGCTGCCTTCTCACTGTGTGCTCGTGGCGGGAGGAGCAGGGCAGGCAGCAAGCTCCGCCCCGCCTCATTTAAAGGCCAGGGAGCCTCCCTCCTCATGACATAAACACCTCCCAGAGCCTTCACCCCCAACACCATCGCTGGGGTGATTAGGGTTTCAGCATATGAATTGTCCAGGGAAGGATGGGGGGGTTGCCGGGGTGCTATTTACACAAACATTCAGTCAATGAGATTCTAGTCCTGATTTCCTGGCACTAAACAGCCTTCATGTGGAGCAGATCCGCTCCCAAATGTTGTTAGCACTTACATAAAAAGACAACTTCTTACCCAAGCCCTTCCTATAAAGGCTTGCCTCCTCTTTGCTCTTCCACACCTCCCCATGCTGCAAGGAAGCCAAGAAACCTCTGGAACCTGGTGGGAGGACCGATGCCACCAGAGGCTGGCAGGACCAGAGCAGGTAAGAGGCCCATGGCACCCAAAAGCCAGGCACTGGGCGCAGCCCAAAGGCCACCCAGGGCTGCCCTGAGAATCGCCCCACGCTCTGCTGTGGCGGTCTTGGAATTCGTGGCAGTCTTTGGAAGGAGTGCCCACATTCTCATTTTGCTGGAAAATTCAATATTCACTATTGTTTTCATGTGACCTAGGCCAAGCACGGCCTCTCCAAACCTCAAGCTCAGATGTCTGGGACAAACACCTTTGCTACAGAAGAGACTCCAAAATATGCCGCATTGATATGTTGATTATCTTGAGCTGAAGGCGCTTGGAAAACAATAAATGCTCATAGAGGTTGTCTCTGAAACCCCACCCTCCCCCTTCTCTGCTTCAGACAGACCCGGCAAAACGACCTGAACCGTCATCAGTCCCCTCCCGGGCATTTCATCAGTCCCAGGAGAGGAGACGAGAGGGTGGCATCACACCCAGGCAGACTTTGTCACAAACTGTCATATCTCCCCTCTAGTCTAAGGGCCCAGTCACCCTTCCTAAAATCATTTGCTCCAAGAGGCCGAGGTCCCTGTAGGGCAAGTGGAGGCCGTCGGGCTTCCTCACTCAGGCGTCTGGGTCACTAAGGGAAGCAGTTTCTCACAACCATGAAGGGGCCTGATAAAGCAGTGTTCTCACAGCCCTGAGCCTGGGTCTCACAGCCTTGAGTCTGGGTCCGATAAACGGTTCCCATTACATGAAGTGGACTCGCGTGCACAGCTCCTGCTGTGTTACTTAACTTTTTGGCCTGAGACCGGCTTTCTTTGTGCTTATACTTGAGAAGGTAGGGGCTTCCCACTGGGTGCGCAGAGGTAGACATGGGCTTGTGGCCTGCGTGGCTCCCTCAAATAAATGCATGTTAGACACCCAACGGCCCTGTGAACATTGTTCCGTCTGCACGAATCCCATGAACCTGTCTGGCCCTGATCGGTCACAACACAGTCCCCACGCCCATTTTCCAGTTAAGATGTATACAAGCTCCAAAATATTTTGGGGGGTATTCACCTTTTTTCCCCTGTGATCTCCCCATGCACATAATATTAAAATTGAATAAATATGTATACATTTTGTCCTGTTAGTCTGCCTGCTGTTGCTTGATTTCATGAACCCAGCCATCAAACCAGGAGCGGGGAGGGGAAGTCTCTCCTCTGCAACATCACAAAGGGTTCACAGCTCCAGCATCTAACCACCAACGAGCCTCCGTTGAGACAGACAGGCGTGCTTAGAACGGCAGGCTTTGAGAACTGAAGGCAGCTTGCAGTCCAGAACCTGTGCCAGTGAGGTCTGCAGGCAGAAGGGGAAGTTTCCTGCTTTGACTGCACCTCCTGCTGGAGGTGAAGCTTCAGAATTCTTTCAAAGGTGCTGGCGGGGAGTGGTGGCAGGAATTATTTTTATACATTGGTCATTAAGCCTCTCACATGAAAATAAGTAAGAGTTATAAAAATGGTTTGAATAAACCTTCCAGAAGCAAGCTTCTGTTTACTCCAAGATGCCTTTAAAAATCTAGATCTGTCGTTGTGAAATTGAGTGCAGTTTTACCTGTGGTACTATCATATTTTGACTTTGGCAGAAATTTTGACTGCTTTTTTCCCAGAAACTTAAACAGAGGACAATGCATTTAAATTGTTAATTTTTTGTTCTACAGATATCACAAGTATTATTTCCTCTCCAAAAAGAAAATTCAATATCCAAAAAGTAAAAAAAAAAACAAAAAAAACAAAAAATCTAGGTTGTGGTCAGCTCGGAGCTTGGCACCAGCCGGCCTGACTGTCAGGGCCAGCCCGTGGGTCGTGTCTTTTTCAGCTCTTTGCTGCCCATCTCCGAAGCGGAGGTAATAATGCACACTTGAAAGGGCTGTTACGAGCACTAAGTTGAATTGAATATTTTTTGAGTGATTACTGCCAACCAAAGGTCGGTAGTTGCTGCCAATTCAACACCAACAGGAATCACCAGATTGGGGTAGAGTGAGGAAGAAAACTATACAATGCAAAACAGCTGTGAGGATGCCCTGGAACCAGGCCCTTTTCCAGCTGGGAAGCTGTGCTCTGCTGCTTGCCCGTTTGTTGCTGCTTCAACACCTCCACTCTGGCCAGACAGACTCACTTTCCAGTCTCCAGAGGAAAAGGAAAGGATACATCCAGAAGCCAGACAGGAGCTGGCTTATATGGACAGAAATCCCTGTTCCTGGTCCCTGATTGGTCTGTCCTCATGCAAATGAGGGCTCCAAATTCTCCTAGCTTGATTGGTCGAAAAGACACTGTCCTGATTGGTCAGAATGGAGCCACTCTGGTTGATTGGAACTGTGCAGTTACTGGATGGGGAAAGCCTCCCCTGTTGTTTAAATAGGGTTCCAGGGGCTCCTTAATAAGGGCTGGCTCAGGTGGCAGGAGCACAGCGCAGGCAGGCGGCACAGTGCAGGCTCCTCCCTGAAGCGCAGTTTGTGTGACAGGCCTCTGTGTAGAGATGGCTGCCGAGCTCTGTTTTGTTTTGGTTTTGTTTTTAATTCGAGCCACTCAGCTAGCCAGAGCCTTCTTAGCAGGTGTCTTCTTTCCCAGGATTCACATTACCTACTTCATGATGAGCTGTACAGACGTGTTTGTTGTTAAATCAACCCCATATTTTTTAGGTAAACAGGCAAAATGGTTAATGCTAAGGATGTGGAGGTGCTTACAATCTCCAGATGCCCGATGGACCTCAGAGGACAGACTCGCATGTAAAGGGCACTGCTTGTGTTGGCATTTTGAAAGCACGATGCTAACTGCTCTGAACTTGGTGAACCAATTTGTGTATTCTGAATGCCATTAAGTTCTCTGGCCCATTTAGAGAGTGGCATGTGTGGTTAAAATAGCCAGGTAATGACCTGCAGACCAGAGCTTCTCAAACTGTGCATGTGCATGTGAATGCAGATTCTGACTCAACACATCTGGGGCGGGGCCCAAAAGTCTGCATTTCTAATGAGCTCCCCAACTGACACTAAAATAAGTGAGAGGTGAATTTATTACACCTTATGTTTCCATCATGGAAGTCAATATAATAAACTTAACCTTGTGTGTATAGGAACTAATTTAATAAGGGAGGCAACTCAGGGACCAGTGACTTTTGTTAAAAACAAGGCAACAGGCCCAAAATGGAGGCACTGATGTTAAATCTCATGTCACCAAACCGAGACTTGAATTCACTTTCATTGCTCTCAGAAATGGCATCTCAAACCAGACAATCAGAAATTGCCTGACCAGCACAACGTAGGCCATCTGCACGAGAAACCCAAGCCGCCCCAAAGAAGACAGCTCTGCAGCGCCCAGTGCGCTTTGCCTTGCATGGCTTCCCTGTCCCCTCCCTCTGCCTGTGAAAGTCTTTCATTTTGCACAGCTTCTTGGAACTCTCTTCTATCTGCTGCATTGGATGCTGCCCAATTCAAATGGATTTTAGTGCTGATAAACTCTTAAAATTTTTTCATATTCCTCAGTTTATTGTTTCCTAGTTCTACAAGCCTGAATTATGATGGGTAATTAAGAGAACATTAATAATATCTAACCCTTGGAGATATTAGAAATCTGGATGAGATCACACATATCAAGAACTTAGCATATGACCATCACATCAAATGAGTTTGTTCAGTGGACATTAACAATAGGAAGAATTAGTGTGTCTTTTGAAACCCATTCAAGTCCTCTCTGCAGTTAAAAGTCTTTTTTCCCCGCCTGGCTGGTGTGGCTCAGTGGATTGAGCACAGGCCTGTGAACCAAAGAGTCGCCAGTTAGATTCCCAGTCAGGGCAACTACCTGGGTTGCGGGCCAGGTCCCCAGTTGGGAGCATGCAAGAGGCAACCACACACTGATGTTTCTCTCCCTCTCTTTCTCCCTCCCTTCTCCTCTCTCTAAAAATAAATAAATAAAACCTTTTTTTAAAAAATGTCTGCCTTTTTGCTATACTTCCAATGTAAGCACATTAACATATTTTCAGTACTATGATGTCAGATACCTGAAACACCATTTGCATGTAGCCTTAAGTTCTGAATTTATCTTTTTGGTCTTTGGGGAGTTTGGTGGGGGGTGGGGAATAATGGGAAAGAAATGGTTTAGGAAGTTGAGAGCAAATACCATTCTCATCCCCCGCTGAAAAAGTGTCAACATCCCCTTCCTCAGAAGAAATGCATCCTTCCTTCCCTCCCCTCTTCCCACCCTGTATCAGCCTCCTAGCCAGAGAAGATGTAGACTCAGTTTAAAACTGGTTATTTCCTATTTTATTTTTTTGCTACATCCATGCAAGATGAATAGAAAAAGGTTTGAACCTAACTCCCTGTGCAGGGCAGGCGTGCCTTTGGATTGGTTATACCGTTATCCAATAGAAAAGAACTATCATCTGCTATTTAATAAAATTCCTCCAGGTCCCAGCAGCACTATCTAGATTATAAGTATTTGGAGATATCGTTTGAATATAGAGATAACTAATCGCGCTGACTACAACACATTAAACCGGTCCCACTCTGTTGGGAAATGTCCCACCTCGTTTCAGGGACTGTAGCCCCACCGACAGGCCAGAGGGCCCCAAAGCTGGAGCTGAGCAAGGAGGCCTTGGGGAAACAGGCCACTGAAGAGACAAAACCTGTCCCCCTGGCAGGGGCGCAGCCCCTGCCTCCCTCACATCACCCTGCTTGGCACTGGAGGATGGCTGGTTAGTCAATGACGGGTAAGACCCCTCGATGGCAGGAGCAACCTAAGACAGGCACAGCCGCGTGAGCATCAGGGAAAAACTTGGGGGACATGGAGAAAGGGCAAAAAGACCCTCACCCCTCAGCTTTGATATGGGTGGAGTCCTCATTCTATCTGAAAGAAGCCTCCTTATCTCTTGGCAGTTCTGCTCCCCCTGCCTGGCTCAGGCTCGAAACAATACTGGAGACAGCCCTAAACTGGATCGGGTGGTTCCCAGGGGAAATCAGGCCTAGAAGTAAATTCCTTGAAGCATGCTTTGTTTTTCCCTCAAAAGCTATGATAACCAGTTCATGCTGGGAAGGAAATGTACATTATTCACAGACCCTGACCCTAAACCCTTTGGCGCCCTCATGTTACGCTCTCATGTTTACTCGTCTCCTCTCGGACCCATATAAATCGGTGTGTTCCTGCCACTTGTTTTCTTCAAAACATCATCCATCTATTCTCTGTAAACATTAACATACTGATGTAATGAGATCATGTGTACATTCCAGACAAAGAAGTGTCTGGGACGACTCCTTTTATTTCTCCCGATTCCTGACGACCCCGGGACGGGCCCTGTGGGATCAGAGTCCATGCTCCCCGCTTCAGCTCGCACCCAAACAGGGTCCTGAAGAGTCCGCCTCACCACTCCCACTGCTGCCCGGCGGTCAGTGGTGTCCAACCTTTTGGCATCTCTGGGCCACACTGGAAGAAGAGTTGTCTTGGGCCACACATTAAATACATGAAAAACTAACAAAAAGTGATGGGCAAAAAAAAAGGTGTTAAGTAAATTTACGTTTTCATGTTGGGCCGAATTCATAACCATCCTGGGCCAATGCTGGGCTGGCGTGAAAGAAGAGCCTGAAGAAGGGCCTCAAGAAGGCGTCCCCATGGCGCAGAAGAAAGGCTGCGAGAAGCACAACATGGCCCTAAGGAGAGCTACTCGATCTATGTGTACAAAGTGCTGAAGCAGGACACAAGCATCTTGCCCAAGGCCATGGGCCTCATGAAGCTTCATTAACGACATGTTCAAGGGCATTGCCAGGGAGGCCTCTGCCAGCTGCATTGTAACAAGCACTTGACGGTGAAGTCCAGGGAGGTGCAGGCGGGACACGCGTGTGCCTGCTGCTTCCAGGGGGGTGACCAAGCACGCGGTGCAGGAGGCGACCAAGGCCGTGACTGAGAACACTAGCTCTAAGTAAAGGTTCCAACAGCTGTCTAACCCAAAGGCTCTTTTCTGAGCCACCTCTGTGCTCATAAAGCAGCGTGTTATCTAGTTTGTGAGGTGCGATTTGGTTGGGGTCTTGGGGTAGCCGCATTGGACGTTGGGGGGCACGAATCCTGAGACAGAGCAGAGCTCTTTTTCTTAGCGGCACAGCCTCCAAAAGCTCAGCAGTCTGTCCTCAGGCAGCAGCCCTAGCGGTCGCGCTTGGAGTGCTCTGGGGCCCTCCCGTCCTCGTGGGCGAGCGCCTCCTCCTCCAGAAGTCCTCATGCTAACTTCCCTTCTCCTGTGTCCTGCTGTGGGTCAGGCTGGGGTGCTCTGGACGTGACACTTAGTGAGGCCCTGGGGGTTGTCACACAGCCCTGGCAGTGGAGCTTGGGGCCATCCTTCCCCTTGTGACAAGGCAGCGCTCGCCAAAAATATTTTAGCGTTGAGTTTAGGCAGCATCTTAGAAGCATTATGTGTTCCTGTCTGAAAACTCAAAATAGCAGGTGCACAGATACTGGTTTCTACCATCATACTCAGCTAAATCCTTCAAATTAGGAAATTTTTGTCCCAAAAAGCATATACTTTTTTAAAGGACATAAGCCTAGTAAACGATGAGAGAGACTTTAATAAAACAAATGCAGTAGCTTTTTTAAAAAAGTAATCATATGCAAAGTAAGCACAATGTGACACAGTTAACAATGAAGGCAAGCAGGCCTAACTGGAACCCAGGATGCCCTCACTCTAAAAATTCCTGAGAGGGAGGCCTCTGGCTGCAGAGCCGCTCCGCGTCGCGACCTATGACGAAAGACACCGCACCAGACACCCTCTGCCTGGCAGGAGAAGGGGGTGGCGACTCCCTCTAGTGGAGAAAGCCCTGAGCCCTCCCCTATAGAAGCGGTTTTCATTGAGAACCATATGCGCAGGGGTGCACAGCCTGCACGCACAGCCTATCAATCTACATCGAAAGGCTGCAGATAATAAAGTGAAGAAATACACAGGTTTGTCTTAAATCAAGGTCTGTCAGACAAGTTGGTGCCAGACATTCATTAAGGCACAGTTTTCTGGGTTCAGAAATGATCTCCTGGTGGTGAAGTAAAACACCTGGTTTTTCCTTATCAGGGCAGTGGGAAGCAGAGCAAGCTTCAGTGACCATGCTGCACTTTTTAAGGCCAGATTTCCCAGGGGACCCTGGGTGTTAGTGTCCGTCCATGTGCCTCCCAGCCTTCCTGGCTTCCAGTCAGCCCTTACAGACAGGGGGCCTAGCTCGCGACCAGGCTACGATTCCCGATACCACACAAAGTGGCCCCCCAACAATCCCGTAATACTGGTGACTCCCAAACCAGGAAGAACACCGGACCCCAGCCCAGGCACCTTCCAAGAGTGAAATGCCTCTGGGGTTGGAAGTTGAATCTCTCAGGTGGACAATGGCCTTCCAACTCCTGCTCCCTGGGGACTCACACCAAGCTTCAGGGACCTCCGCCCATTCATCAACATTTAATCTCTCAGAGTGTAAATGTCTTTTGGGTTTCTTTTTTCCCTCTGCATTTGTAGTTTCTTCTTAAAGGGACAGTTTTACCTCCCCCCCCCGAAATCTTTGGTTCACTCCACAATTTTTAACATATTTGACTTGAAATTTTTAGCTGAGATAGGAGAGGGGAGTCTCTTAAATGCATTTATGATTCAAAACCAGCGAAATCCTTTAGTTCCTTCCAGGTCTTTTGTAAGCTTTAACCTCAGTTATTTCAGACCTGGAGAATGCTACCTTTGTGTTGAGTCCTAATTCTCTTAGCCTCATGTAACCTTCAACTTAACACTTAAATCTTTCTCTGTTGTAATAATATTATAGACATGTGCTCTGTATACAATTTCTCTGTTTTCTTGATCATAAAATCTCAGTAGCAGGGACTCTGTCACCTGGCCTCTTCCTTTAGGTGCCTACAGTGGGAGAGAGCCCAATCCGGCCCGTTCCACGCCTGGGACTATCTGTGCAGCTTCCACTCGGCTGTTGGCAAGTAGAGGCAGCCCCCCGCCCCTCTTTTTTTTAACTTCAAGCTAATTTCATTGTCAGAGGAGCCAAAACAGATGTTTTTAATTATGAAAATCATTTTTGTTATGAAAATCAAGACTAATAATTTTCATTATCCACAACAAAATTTATTTTTATAGAATTGTATTTGGGAATTCGACACGTTCATTTTGCTTTTTGATCTTATTGTTGGAACTAAGCAGTGTTGTTGCCTACTGTCAGCACAGTCTACCACATTCTGCTGCTGACAAGTTTTATATTTTACTAAATCTAGGTTTTACGCTCATTAAGGTAGAGAGAATCATGTGGGTCTGTAACACTGGTATCATGTGACTACAAGTACTCATCAAGATACATCAACCAGGGCCCTGGCTGCTGTAGCTCAGTGGATTGAGCCCTGGCCTGTAAACCAGAGGGTTCCAGGTTTGATTCCCAGTCAAGACACGTACCTGGGTTGAGGGCCAGGTTCCCACTTGGGGATGTATGAGAGGCAACCACACGTTGATGCTTCTCTTCCTCTCTTTCTCACTTTTTTCCCCTCTCTCTAAAAATAAATAAATAAAATCTGAATTTAAAAAAAAAAAGGATACTGACCAGGGTTAGGCCCGTCAACGGCTGCATTCATAATGGAGGACTGGAGGTTGACATTTTAAATATGAATCAGATATCTGAGAATTAAGGGTGCTATCATCTGATAATCGATCAGTGTTTAATTTTTGGATTATAACTAGGAAAGCAAAGAATTGAGTGAAACGTCGATAGAAAAATTTCATTCCTAGTGTATATTTTTGTAAATGTTGTGTCAGAGAATATATCTATTAAGACAAAGCAAAAGCTGCTATAGTGCAATCACTGTAAACATAACTCTCTGTGTGCAGGGGTGCATGCGCTCCCTGAGGCCTGGGGGGGGGCACCATTCCTCTCATTAAGAGGCAGGTTTCACTAAAATTTTGGATTTTGTTTCATAATTTCAAAACCCATTGATGTATTTTATTCTCACCTGAGGACTTACTGATTGATTTTGGAGAGCAGAGAAGGAAGGGAGAAGCAGAAGGAGAGAAACACCCACATGAGAGAGGAGCGGGGCGGCCGCCTTCCGGCCGGCCTTGCAGTTTGCGGGGAGGTGCCCTATCCCCTGGGCCCGTCCTCCAGGCCCAACTTATTTATGTTTCAAACACTCGGTTTTCGTCACCTACAAGTATTTTAAAATTTCAATTTACATACTTTTTTTTGTAGGAAAAGGTGATAGATAAAACCAACAAAAAATACATCTTACATTAGGATGGAATTTTCAGACAGAAATGGAATGCAAGTGACTTCAGGGAGGAAAAGCAATCATCTAAAACATCTATTAATGAGGAATTTAGTTGTGTTATTTTATAAATTATAACACCAAATTGATATTTCAACAGGCACCTTTAAAAGACTCGTGTGTGACCATTTTTTTAGAGTCAAGAGTCAATTTGCATCTTTGCACCTATTTCAACTAACCATAAAAATATTTCAGATGCCAACTTTAAAATGTGGGAGAGTTTAAAAATCCTTTTAGAGAAGATCCACTCCACAAAAATGAACTGGGGCGCACAGGGAGTGAGGGGCTCCTGCCCCTGAGGCGGAGGCCGCTCGGAGGGCGCGCCTCACTTTTTCTTTGCTGCTGCCACAGGCCGCCCACCCCAACTCCCTTTGGAGAGACAAGATTTGTAAATGCATGGTTATCTTTTGTTGAACACCTGTTCCTTGCTGAGATAAAAGACCTTTCAACATATTAATTCTCAAAAAGCTCAAGGAAATTATTAGGAACCCCTTTTAAAAATAAAGCCAAGCCAAGAAAAAGGTAGGCGTTGTCCCTTCCACAGTGAAGCCTCTTCACGACAAAGAACTCTCCCCAGAAAATGATTCTCCCAATAAATGTGGGTAGTTCAAAAGGGGACTTGTATTCTGCATCACTAACGTTTCACAGAAAATAACGTGGCTGAAGGGCGGGGAACTAATTTGGAAGAAAAAGGGAATTCTTTCCTTTTAAATTGTCCAGCTTCCCCCACCTCCCACCTGTAAGGGTGAAAGCTACCTGCTGCAGGGTCGGCTTGTTACACCCGGCTCCCGAGCGCAGGGCGCTGGGTTTCCACCGAGCTTCCATTTCTCTTTCAGTTTCAAACATCCTGCCATTGCAGGATCCAGCCACGCAAACGTCTTCCCGGAAATACTCATTGCTCGAGGATAAAGACGCGTGGTCCAGGCAGGGAGGCAGCGCCAGGCGCCACCGCCAGATCTGCTCGACAACGCGAGACCCGTCATCTAGAGCACCTCCGGGCTCACCCACCAGGGACAAGGGGTGGGGAGATTGGCAAACGGAGCTCTGGACCGAGAAGCACCAGGGACGCACTGAAAGAACGTATCAGCACTATGCTCCAGCTTTGCCTGGCTATGTATTAATAGTCCTGGGAGGAGGCAAGGGCGGACCTGGGGCGGGGGGGCGGGGGCGGGGGAGGGGTCCTCGATCGCCTCGCTACGGTTTGCAACCCGATCCCTGAAAGCATTTACACATCCGCGCATTCTGTGCTCGAGTGCATACACACACAGCAGCGCGCACACGACTGAAGCGGGGCCCCTCCAAATAACCAGGGAACTCCTAGGGCGCAAAGATGTATTGGGTTTACAAAACAACCCTTCACCGCATTGGAAACTCTTCCTCAGTTGTGGGAGTGGCTCTGGCAACAGCAAGAGCAAAGCCGGCCGTCTGCCCCCGGGAAGTGATGGTGGAGCGCTCGTTGTATTGCGCCAGGCGGGACGCCCCGCGTGTTCAATGTTTTTGAGAAAGGAGTTCATGATACCGATGACTTTGGACGAGATGCCGGTCGGGGTGCACCTGCTTCAACACATTTTCCCTATAAACGGAGTAGTTCTCCTCACAGCCGCGCTTACGCGCGCCTCTTGCAGTCTCTCCTGCAACTTGGGGACTGCATTCTAGGTCGCGGGGGCAGATTTCGAGGGATAAGGAATGATTAAAGGTCTCTACCAATAGTCTCTGAGAGCAGAGCAACTCTATTTATACGTCGTGTAGTCAAATCAAGGAACAGTCTCTAGTTTCTGGTGGGATCAAACGCTCCCGACCTCATCACTGGAAGACACATGCAAATTAAGGGACGGTGACTTCTTTTTCTGATTGGCTCTCGACGCCATCCAATCGGATCGCGCCATCTCACCTACCTCCGGACCGTATATAAGACCTTGCTAGGCCTCTGGGCCTGTATTTCGGATTTTGCTTCTCGGTCCTGCTTTGTGTACTTGGCTCCGGATTACGGACATGTCCGGCCGCGGCAAGCAGGGGGGCAAGGCGCGCGCCAAAGCCAAGTCGCGCTCTTCGCGCGCCGGGCTGCAGTTTCCCGTAGGCCGCGTGCATCGCCTGCTTCGCAAGGGCAACTACTCTGAGCGCGTAGGCGCCGGCGCGCCGGTGTACCTGGCGGCCGTGCTGGAGTACCTGACGGCCGAAATCCTGGAGCTGGCGGGCAACGCGGCCCGCGACAACAAGAAGACGCGCATCATCCCGCGCCATCTGCAGCTGGCCATCCGCAACGACGAGGAGCTCAACAAGCTGCTGGGCCGCGTGACCATCGCGCAGGGCGGCGTCCTGCCCAACATCCAGGCCGTGCTACTGCCAAAGAAGACCGAGAGCCACCACAAGGCCAAGAGCAAGTGAAGCCGCGGAGGCGGGCAGGAACTGCGGCGCGCCCCGGGGGTCCCGTGACACCAAAGGCTCTCTTCAGAGCCACCCAGTTTCCAGAAAGGAGCCTCACAGGGCCTCAGCATGGCGCGGCCCGTGCTCGTAGCTGCAGGGGTGGTCGCCTGATGTGGCCGCCATGCTCGCGAATCTTGCCACTAAACCCCTCCTGGGATTTAAATCTCTCTCACCCTGAAGGTACCTGTGTTATTACCAGTGACTAGTTACTTTCGGCTCGACAGTGTCGCTCGGTCACGTTTAGACGCCAAATACGAACTGTTTCTTTATCCTAGGGACAACCGGGTAGATTGGCCTGGTGTCTATAGTTTGTTATCTTCAGAATTTGCCATTTCCGGTTCTGATAAGTAAACTGGTTCCCATTTAAAATGTATGAGTGCTTGAGTGAGTTGAAGTGGCAGTTTTTAAAGAGCATAAGGTCCGTCGGGATTATGATTGAATTTATTGGGTTGGGAATTCTAAAATCTGGGGAAGGGTTTATTTTGCTACAGGTGTTTTCAGTATTTAAAAGAAATTGTTTTTAAAAGAGGTACAAACTTTTTAAGGAAACTTAAATAATTGAAGGAAATTGTTCAAATTGGATTGGTCAATCAAAGAACCTCTTGAATTGTTAGCTAAGATCATAATAAAATAGTTTGTACATTGAGCCTGATAAAAAAAAAAAAACTAGGTTTGTGAATTTAGTGAGTTTAAAGTGAATGTTAGGACCAGATTGTGTAATGTCTATGGGGCTATTTCCGAAGTTGGCTGTTCATGAGCTCTACATTCCGTTACAAAGCAGGTTTGGAGATTTTTTTTTTGAAAAGTGAGCTGAGAAATGGGAACATTAATGGCACCTATCTCATGGGAGATAAGGGAATAAATGAGATAATCCATGATAAACCCCCCCCCCCCCAAATAATGCCTGGTGCAAAATAAGGGCTTGGTAAGTGTTAAGTTATTGCTGTTGTTACCCTCACTGTTATTAACGTCTTCATTATAACAGTAAGTACAGTAGCAAACATATTCAGAAGTATATTTATCTTATTAAAACTAGGTTTACTCAAACCCGGGCTTCCTAGAACCGTCTGGAGCAAGTCATCTGCTAGTCTCTCTAAAATATCTTAGTGCTAGAAAAGACTGCTAGGCAGCTGCCCTATTCACATGGATGGAAACCACGCCGGATGCCCCTGTGGAGGAAGCGAGCAGGACCCACGGTGCGGGGCGGGCCACGGGGCAGCGAGGACCGTCAACAGACGAGCACCTTCTGGAGGCGCAGGCGGCACGTTGACAGGAAGGGCGCTCAGTTCTGCTGTGACCTGTATTCTAACCCTTAGGTGGTATGGAAAGTAAGTGTTCCAGGGGCGGGGGCTGAAGTGTTCCAAGTACCACAGTGGAGCTTCAGGTTTTGGTTTCTTCACATCCTCAAGTGCATTCTTAGGATGGAGGCTGTGATGTGGGAGGTCCTCTGGCAGCAACCTCATTTGTCACCTCTAAGACTGAGCTTTTCCTATACAGCCACAATCCACAGGGGCTGTTCAATTTTTACAGTCGCACTAGCCACACCCCTACCCCACTGGACAGCACCGTCTTCACAAAGTTGCCGGACAGCTCTGACCCCAAATCTGGTTATCCAGGTTACCAGGTTCAAAACCTGATGAAATAACCAGAGCTGCCTGTCTCTGTGAGAGAGCAGCACGTAACTCAGGAAGCCCACCACCAGGTAGGTGTATCCAAGGGCTCCAACAGATACCCATACCCCCACATTCACAGCACCCCAGTGTCCATAGCAGACAGGTGGATACACAAAGCGGTCCACCCCCACTGTGGGATGCTATTCAGCCATGAAAAGAAGAGTGAAGTTCTGATTCATGCTGCAGCATGAAGCTTAGAAACATTGCTGAGTGAAAGAAGTCAGATGCAAAAGGCCACTGTGTATGATCCCCAGAATAAGCAGGTACATACACAAACACTAGCTTAGTGGTTGCCAGGAACTGGGGGTGATGGGATGGATGGGGAGGACCTTCCTCTGGGGGTGATGAGACTGTTTCCGAGCCAGAGAGGCGAAGGTTTGCACAACCCTGGGAATGCACTGAAGGGGTCGCAGTAGGTGGGTGGTTTTATGTTGTGTGTGCATTTCACCTTGGTTTTAAAAAGAAATTTGAATGTAACAGTAGGATATGCACCACTAAGGAGACTGGGTGTCTCAATCACTTAATCCAGCAGATGGAGGGTGGGCTGGACAGGCTGGCCTCGCCGCCCAGCGCCCATTGGAGACCATTTAGGAAGAGAGTGTGGAGTGCCTCTGGGTGGCCTTTCCCTGCACCACTGTGGCACATTGCCCTGGGATTCTCTCACTCTCTCCACGACCTCATAGGGTGGTCACATTGAGAAAGACGAGAAAAACAGGTGAGAGGTCCTGGAGGAACAATGCAGCCCAGCCAGTCTCAGAAAGCCACACTCACTGCAGGTAAAGTGCCCCAGGCCAGGCTCAGCCTGGTGGTGCACACCCCATGGCCTGCCCAGCCCACCTGGACGTGGGTCTGTCCCTGGCCGCCTCCCTGATATGTTGGTTCTGTCTACTCACCAACATGTTTGAGAATCCCTTGAGTATAACAACAAATGGGATCTCCCCACACACAACCCCCCGATTTCTTTGTTCAACAAGCATTCGCTCGTGCACTTTGGGAAAACTGGGTCGCCCAGCTTGAATGTTCTTGGGCCTGGGCTGAGCTGAGCTGTTGTCCTAAAGTCCTGCGCTGCTGCATGGCGGCCCCAGCAAGGGTCAGAACCTGTCTGGTCACTGCTAAGCAAGCTTGACAAAGGCTTTGCTTTTTTCTGACCCCTGCCCAGCAGTAGCTCTAGCCGTACCCTCCCTTAGCCCTCTTCCCCGCCTCCATTCCGGTCAGCCCCCACCCACTGCCTGCAGCCTGGGACTTCAGGGCCTGGCACTTTTCCCTCACTGGCAGCTCCTCCTGCCAGCCCTGCCCCCAATGTCAGCACCCCTGTCCTCAGTTTGCCCCCAGCCCTGTGCAGGATCCTTGCATGACATCTCAGTTCTGTCCTGTGGATGGAAGATCAGCCCAAAGCTGAGGGTCAGCGGTTGGACTTGGGCTGCCAGAAAAGCTGATGGTCAGTGAGCGTGCTGAGGGCTGGCTCCTGGGCACTTGGGGCCAGTGGGGAGTCAGCCGTGGGTCAACTGGGGCTCAATTAGGTGTCCGCATCAGTCACAGGTTAGCGAGGGTCTTTGGAAAGGCACTGGTCCAGCAGCCTCCCTCACACGTCTGGGTGTCTTGGTTCTCCGTCTCTCTCCACAGCTAATTTGGGCTTTCTCCCATGGTCCCCAGAAGACAGTGCCCAGGACTGCTGGGGCCCAGCCCACATGCTGTCACTCATGCCCCGGGCTAGGGGTCATGCCAAGTCACGGAACCCACTGGACCCCGAGGAACAGCCTTCTCCCCACTCTAGGAGAGCCAGGGCCGTGCTGCCACCCACCATGGGCCCTTCCGCACACTCATCCGTGCCAGGGCTTCCGTGAGACCCAAACCCCTTCTGCTCAGGGGCAAGCTCGAGCTACGGCTTGGATGCCCCTACTGGTGGCTGCATCAAAGGCACAGCCGCTCAACACCACCTTCCTCAGTCTTCCCCAGCCAGGCACCTGCAACTCAGTTAACTAAAATAGACAAATAAAAGCTGCCTTTGATCCCTTCCTCTCCATCCCTGCCCATAAGGAGACCGACAGCAAATCAGGAGTCACTGGGATGCAGGTCCTCTCCATGTCAACTGCTACCACCCTAGCCCTGGGTTCCGCCTCTGGTGGGCTGAAGGGTGCTCCCACTCTAAGATACGCCCATGTCCTAATGCCTGGAACATGCGATTTCAGCCTTGTATGATAGAAAGGTCTTTGCAGGTATAATTCAGTTAAGGATCTTGAGATGAGATCATCTGGGATTGCGGTGGACCCTAAACCCAATGACAGGTATCTTTTTAAGAGACGAGATGCAGAGACATGGGAGAAGGCTGTGTGAAAAAAGGCAGAGATGGGGTGACGTCGTCACAAGCCCAGGGACACCCTGAGCCATCAGGACCTGGCAGAAGCAGGAAGGACCGTCCCTTGGGGTCTCGCAGGGAGTAGGCTTGCCCACACCTGGCTCTCAGGCTTCGGCTGCGGACCTGGAGAGCACCACCCTTTCTTGCCCAAACTACCAATCCCCACCACCCCCACTGCAGCATCAGCGAGATGCTCCAAAACTTAGTTCCCCTGCTTGAGGATAAAATCTACAGAAAATCAAATCAGTGGAATCCAGCTATCAACAGGCAGGGGGGAAAGGAAACACAGAAAAAAATCATATCTCAACGCAGTAAAGGTTGCTTTATCCAATATCCAATACAATATCCAATAGCCATTCATGACAGGAAAAAAAAACCCTCAAAATAAATCACAGACTTAACTGGAAAACGTAAAACTACAAAATGTGTAGGAAGAGAATTTATAGAAGGAAATCTTCACAATATAGGGCTAGGCAAAGAGGGCTTGGACTTGACACCAAAAAAACGTGATCCATAGAAGGAAACATTGGAAATTGGGCCTCATCAAAATTAAAACTTTTGCCTTGTGACAGGGATGGAAAAACAAGCTGCCGAGGAGGAGACAGTATTTGCAAACTGCCCGTCTGAAAAAGGGCTGAACTCAGACCCGTGAAGAGCTCTCTGCTGCCTCGTGCGGGCCGGCCCGGTGCCGTCGCGCTCCGGGCCGCAGCCTGACAGCCACCTCCTGGAAGGGACACTTACTCTTTCGTTTTAGAATATTCCATTCTAAAAAATAGAGAAGACGAGGAAAAAAGTGGGGGGAGGGGTGGAGTGGCTGGATTTCCTCACAGGCGTTAGTGTAAGGGGTGGGAGGCCCAGGCAGCCTAGGCAATGAGACAGCTGGGAACTAAATGTTCAGGATCACTAAGTATACCTGAGACACTAAACACTCAAGCTAAGCATACAGCAGGCACCAAACACTCAAGGTCGCTAAGTATACAATAGGTACTCAGCATTCAGGACCCTCGGGCGCTGCGGAAAAGCCGCAGTCTTCGCGCGCGGCGCCCGCGCCCTTCCCCGGGCCCCTGGCCACGCCCCCTCCCGCGCGCGGGTTCGGCGGGTCCGTCCTCCAACCGCTCGCGCCCCGCATTCCCCAGGGCAGACACCGCGGGCTTCCCGCCCCGAGGGCTCCGAGTTGCCGCTGAAATCTGTCTTCACGGTCCGGGCAGGACGCCCCAAGCCTTGGGACTCTTTCTGTTCAGCGCGTAAACCTCTACCCTCTCCCACCGATGCAAGCTCTGGGGAGGCACTGTCCTCGGATGTGCACCCGCTCGCCCCAGTGCTCGGGAGTGATACTCAGGCACAGAGCGGATGCGAAGCGAATACGGATGAATGACATTTGAACACACACACACGCACGCACGCACACGCACACGCACGCACACGCACACACACGGGGTGAGGGGTTCCTGTTCCTCGAGCCAGCGGAGGCAGAGGAACGGAACTACTCTAATGACCGCACAGCGCAAGAGTGGGAGGGCATGCGCCTTCCCACCGCCGAGCGCTCGCGGTC